TAGTAAGTACAAGCATATCTATCATTCTTAAAATTTTGTTTTAAATTAGCACATAAATATAAGTATGCAATATAATTTTTTAAAGTGACATCTTTTGGTGTAGCTAAAATGTTTTTATTTTTTGAACTAGTATCCACATCAGTCCTAAAAACCCATCTCTAAAGCTAGTCTCATGTATAAAAACATAAATAATATAATTTTTATTACAACATGTAACTTTAGCCTTACATTTGAGCTTGTCGTGAATTTTAAACAAGTTATTCATTTCCATTTTAATTACACAAAAGAAGCAGTGTAGAATGGAGTGTAAACAAATATAAACTTCACACAACTCAGGCATTCTAAATGTCTACAGAGTGACAATAAGTGATAAATTAAAATTATGCAATTAAACAGTGAGGAATTTCAAAAAGTTCTAATGCTGGATTTAACAACGTAGTAAAGAAGTTTAAATGAGATTTAGTATATTGATGTTGATTACATTTTCACTGAAGTGATACAATAGAAATACATTGTATAAAACATTGCAAATACATAGTATGAGTGGTTTAGACTCAGTGACTGTAAATAATGCCTGAGCTGAAAGTAATTTAATTTTATACTAAGCTTTTGAGAGATATGAGATATTATTATAAATCAGTTTATGAAATTTGTGTTGTATACTTAACCATGACCAAATAGAATGCCTTTGGGCAGACTAGGATAGCAGAAAAAAAACAATCTAATTGGCTGAATAGGGCTGATTAGAGTGTTAAATATTTTTCCTATTTTACCTTGTCATTCAATGTGTATTTCTGTACTTTTTATCCTAAAACCATAGTTATATTTTCATTTCTTCTTTACATCAATCTCCCAAATGGAGCTTCTAGCTTTCTGGAGATTCCTGGCTTATTTTTAAATATTATGGAAAATCCGTATGATGTCTGTAAAGAAAATAAGGAACATGTGAATGGTGGGATAGATCTAAACGAAGTGTGACAAATATTAATATTTCAACGGAGAATTACCTTACCTTTTGATCAGTATTGAAATAGTAATCGCAAGTCATTATTTTGTGGTGTGTTTATCTGAATTAATATCAAGATTATGCACATCTCAAGAATGATATAATCAAGAATTGTTGTTTTCAATTAAATAACTTTATTTAATGTTAGACACGCATTGCACATACATATTTACAGTTGTGTCTTTCTTTAAAAAAAATTCACATTTGTCAGTTGATAAAATGGAATTTACATAGATGTACACATTTTTGGTGTGGACCAGTTAAACCTGAAAAGGACCATTTAGAATCTCTGGAAGACCAGTTAGAAATTGTGCAAATTTCTGATCTTGGTGTAAATGTATATGAATGTGTGACTATGGAATGAAGTGTTGACTGGGTGTACAGGATTTCTCATCTATATCATCCACCAGACTTGCTGGAGCTGTGAAACATTACCTAGACCTTCAGCCAATGTCTCAAAGAGGACGTGCAACAATGTTGTAAAGCAGTGTTGGCCAATTTTGGTGGATGTAAACATTGTGAAAACACATTGTTCATATTCCTGGGCTATATTGTTGCCACAGCCACTTTAAATCTAGGGGATGTAGCATGTCATCTTGTTATTGCAACCACTTCCAAACTAGGGGGATATAAAATGTTGTGTTGCTGTTGCAGCCAATTCCAAACTAGGGGGATGTAAGATGTCATGTTGTTGTTGCTGCCTGTCCTAAGCTAGGGAGTGTAATATGTTATGTTGTTGCTGCTGCCTATCTTAAACTAGAGGCGTGTAACATTTTATGTTGTTTCTGCTGTCTGTCTTAAATTAGGGGGTATAACATGTTATGTTGTTGCTGCTGCCAGTCTTAAGTTACGGGGGTATAACATGTTATGTTGTTGCTGCTGCCTGTCTTAAGTTAGGGGGTGTGACATGTCATATTGTTGCTGCTGCCAATCTTAAGCTAGGGTGTGTGTAATGTGTCATATTGTTGCTGCTGCCCATCTTAAGCTAGGGGGGGTATAACATGTTATGTTGTTGCTTCTACCTGTCTTAAGTTAGGGGGTGTAACGTGTCATATTGTTGCTGCTGTCTATCTTAAGTTAGGGGGGGTATAACATGTTATGTTGTGAACATAAATTTATTATAGGTACCATTATCAGGAAGAGTAGATTTTCTTTAAACCTAATTTTTTGCTATATTGTTTGATCTTAAACTTTTCATGCTCTGTCCTCTGTTATTAGGAGATTAATTGTTTTGGAAGAAACTTTGTGAAATAATATGATTGTTTGTTTTTGATTTTTCACTTGTGCATTGTTTCATTTTAGCACTGAGAAGGACTTTGTTGAGAGCCCACAAACAGGTGTGGGCTTGGCAAGATGAATGGTTAGGAATGACAATAGAGGATATACGATCGGTGGAAAAGGAAACACAACTATACCTTGCTAGGACTATGTCTATAGCAAATAGACAGAATTCATTAGAACAAGAATTTCATGACTGCTGTCAATCACAGAATGAAAAGGCAGAGTCATGTGATATTAACTTAGTCTCATCAAATAATCCATCAAAATCTCTAGATAAGCCTTGCAACTTGATCAAACAAAAAACTGATGATAGATTATCATTTGACTATAAGAACACAGCTAAACACCTGACTGAAGATTTTTCTGAAGAAAAACAAATTACAGAAAGGTTGAGTCAGGAAGTGGATGTTCTTGAAATTAACAGGAAAGATTGTGAAGGAATATGTTCTCAAAATGGGTTAGATCTTTCTGAATATTCTGCAGGTAAAGTGTTAAAATTTTCTATTCTTATATCTATATTGCCAGTTGTGCTAGTTGGACTCTTACAACAGATTATTGTTATTTGTTTTAAAAATTATCAGTAAATATTTCTCAAAAAACATCTAATAAACGTACACTTTGTTTTTAAGTTATTTTCCACATGTCTTTGTTTTTTTTCTTGATTGTAATTTTATTTTGTGAAGATCTATGCTGTAGGGCTATAGTCAAGATCCACGGTCATCAGATAGAGCAACTGACCGGATGTGGCAACATGAATTGTAACGGCATGTTGATGCTCCGAAATTATAGTAATAATACATACTCATCCTTTTAATTCACCTTTATCCAGCATATTTTCATTGATCTGTTCTGCGTGATTCCAAAAACCAGAACTGGAACAGTAAGAGTCCAATAAAGTGTAAAAAAGTCTCACTAGCTGTTAGAGATTTCATACATGCCACATGAACAGGTACAATAATGTATCAGTAACAGAGAAAGCAACAAGTACATATTGTGAATATTATTTAATATATGAATTATTTGTGAATATAGAAAACAATTATAAGCAAACAAAGACATCTATTTACGATTTGAATTCACATTATTTCTAGTGGTATACTACTTACACTAATAAAGGTTCTACTTTGTGGGTTCTTTTAAATAAATTTAACCTTGAGAAAATTTAGTTTAACGCGTTTGTTTCTGTATTTACAAGTTATCTAGGTACAGTACATGTATATGCTCAATTATCATGCATTATTTTCTGATAGATTCAATAATACAATAACAACTTTTACAATAGGCAAGTTCTGAATGTAATAATTACAATGTCTCGATCTCTGATATCGAGTTATTATCGGGTAAGAGCTATATTCAGAAAGTTGCAATATTGTATTTTTGGACTAATTATTAGTTCCTCACTAAACATTCATCTTCTATCAAATGTTCAGCTGAGATGGTTTGATTAAATTGTGGCATTAGTTTTTCTGTTCATCCCTTGCATTTGTTAGATAAGAAAGATCAGTTGTTATAGAACCATTCGCTTGTTAGACATAAACTGATCAAATTTTGAACTATTTAGTGGTGAAGTCAGTCAGTGAGTAAATTTATAATTCTTGATGTTTCTTGTGAAGGTGTACTATCTTTAAACATTTGTCTTTAAATATTGTGGAATAAAGTTATCTATACGTTAGAGTACCATATCTGAATGAAATGTCTTTATATTGATAAGTTTTTAATTCAAACAATTTGTGTCGTGTAGGAAATTTATAATCGTACTGATTTGAGATATATCTAATATTTTTTTAAATAGTACATTCAGACTTGCTTATCATTTTATAAGTGGATGAAAAAGAAACCTATCTTGCTAATTCATAAAATGCTGTTATATTTACTATTAATATATTGTAAGAACTGATTGGTTTATCTGAATGTCACCAACGTATCTAGAACAACCGTCAACTTTATATAGGTCAACCAAGCTCTTTACTTTAACAATACACACAACCAAATTTCTATCACTTACTTTCATGCCATTCGTTTTACTTGTGGGATCCACGTGTTATAGCTTGACAGTTAACTTGATTAATTAAAATTAAATCAATTGATGTTGTGCACATAATTAACTAGTGATTCCAATTATTACTGTTTTTGAATATTCCAACTATCTTGTAATAAAAAATATGATTAGATTGAATAATGTAATGAAAATAATCAACTAAACAAAATTGTTTCCAGTTATTCCAATTATCCATGTAATTGAAATAGTGCCATTATGTTTGTTTGTTGTTAAATGCAATGCTACAAAATAAACTATCTGTACTCCACCAACTGCAGTTATCAAAACCCAATTTTTAGAATTATATACGCAAACATCTATAGATATTTGTGTTTTTTATTTTGGCCATCTCATGTAAGAATAAGGGATTGATTGAACCCGACAACTGGTTAGCAGAGTCCTCTAATTTCCCAACTCTACTACATATTACATCATCATCATACTGAGTAATTTTATGTTTTTTTGTCTGTTACAACACTCAGCGTAAAGAAATGATCATAAACGTTCTTTTGAAATCACTCATTTTCTAAGTTGGTTATTCAGCAGTATTTAGTGGCATTAATTACAATGTTGATGATATTTTTGTTCACATTTTTTGTGTGACTCATTTGTTGTTAAGAATTCTGTAACCAACAAAGTCATGGACTCGCAAAGAATTTGGTGTGTTGGTCAGAAGAATGTGGTTAGAAAGTCTGTGAGCTTCATCATTAAGTTTAGAGTTACATATTACTTAACAAAATTGGTTTACCTGTATTACTCGTGTGTAATAACAATATTTAATTTATCAGTGTTTGTATGTTTTAACAGTTTATCCAGATGCTGTAAAACATGGTTTGAAACAAAATTATATCAGTCCACATAGAAGGTATTAAAATACTTTTGGTAGAAGATTGTGCTTGATTTTATTACTTTATGTTTTCCTAGAGCACTGTTTATCCACAGTTGAAAGTAAAAGAAAGAAAGACTCCTACCCTAACTCAAATGAAGAATTTTTTGATGCAGAAGGTGGGTAACTGTTTACATTTCATAGATCTGAATCAGGACATTTAGCTAAAATTGTGTGAATTATAACATTTAAGTAGTACTGTCTTATATATATTAATGGTTCTTTTGAGTTTTTTTTTTACTAATCCTGGATTCCTCTTGAACATGAAAAGCTGTATGATTTTTAGCAAGTGAATTTCTCTTAGGACTAGTCATTTAAGAAATAATCAAATCATTCATGTGTGTGTGTGTTGAGATACAAGATGTTTTATAATGTGTTATTTGGTATGATTTAAAAGCTGTAAATGTTCTTTGTCAGAGTATAATTTCTTTGTTTATGTATTGGTCTATAATACAAAGTTTCATGTAGCAAAAAAAAGTGTTTATTTTTATCATTTCTTTCTCCATTTTTCAGATGTGCTCCATTTACCCCCCCCCCCCACAGTAACACAGCAATATGTCTGCGGACTTAAAACATTAGAAACCTGGTTTCGATACACATAGTGGGCACAGCACAGATAACCCATTGTGAAGTTTTGAGCTTAACTAAATCAAACACATTTAAAAACTTCTTGACTCTAGAGAATAACATTTCAAATTCACATTTAACTTTTTTATCTCTCGGATTGCCTGTGTGATCCAAATATTATGTTATGTTTGGGTAATTTTACATTTTTGCTTATTACAAATCATAAGTATACTAGTTAATAAAATAAAAGTTTGTAAACTGAATATTAAATACTCATATTTATGATGTCCAAAGAAAAAAAAGTAAAGTTTGACTCTCCTTTTTTTTTCAGGTTCGTGGTGAATCTTTTTCCGTTCATCTTGCTGATCAATAAGTTTATCCAGAATACTGATTTCCAATTATAGTTTTCTGACTTTTAACTATCAATAATATCTTGGCAATAAAAGGTGATTTGATATACTTCTTATTCACTGCCAGACCTGATTCATCAAGGTTTTGGATTCAAAGTTCCCCACTTTACCAGTGGTGGTGTATTAGTTTCAAAATGTCCAGGTAAAATTTACTTAAAGTACAGTTAGAATGGTCAGAGTTGTGATTGTTTTAATATGTATATATCTGTGTGTAGCTATTAAATAATTAATATATTGTTTTTTATTATTGTAAACCCGACTGAGAAATTTTCTTATATTGTAAAGATAAATATGTATGTGCAATATTTTGTCCATGCACTAAAAACGTAATGATGTACACTTTATTTCAGAAACAAAAAAAATTGAAAGTTTATCAACAAGCCAGATTTAGTGTAGTACTTTATAATAGAAAAGTACGTGAGCACTAACGTTTATAAATCTTAAAACAGGAAAGATATAGTGTAGTACTCTATAACAGAAAGGTGTGTGAGCACTAACCTTTATAAATCCAAATATAATGTTGTAAAACTTTAGGAATGTATGTTGTAATGCAAAAAATAGTTTTCACCTAATATCGTACTATAAAGAAAAAGAAATGTTGGTAAGATTTAGAACTAAGTTATGATTAAAATCTTGTTTGACTGCAGCTGTTTTTAACTGGTATTTCTCTTAATTAGTCTAACGGATTTTGTATTAGTGATATTGAGCCTTCCAAGTTTTGTCATATGGCAAGCACAGATGTTTTGTGCACAAAAGGACATGCTTATTAGGATTATCGTATAAAAAGGCTGTAGTGTTTCTCTGTATGTTTTATGTAATACTGTGCCAGTGTCTAATGCTTTTCAACTCTGTAATAACATAATCTTGATTATATTTTATGGAAAGTTCACTAAAGTAAACTTATTTCAAGAGTTGAAAAACTTTTTTTCTGTAAGGTTGGCTCAATTTTATCGCATTACATGTAACCAATATAATCATAAAAGGTACAGAAGTTCAATTCGTTATACAAACGAACTGATTATGTTTTGAAGAAGTTACTTTTTAACATGCTTAAACTTATCATTTATAGATAATTGTTATCGTAGCTTAGTATTTTCATACCAGTTCTGAAGATCTTGGAACACACATTAACTTCTAGTATATCAATTCATCTCATAACTGTTACTAGTTACAAACAATGTTCCCTCTAATTTTTCTTTGTACTGAGCACTACTTTTCTGTCGGTAAGTAGTTTTGGTTTCTGTAATTTCCAAAAGCCGTTCGTCTTTAAAACCACTTTTTTTTAGAAGATTTCGATGCTTATATTCCTGCCTAACATTTTGACAAGGTATTGTTCAAGTTATAGTACTGCGTCTTCTGCACTATTATCAACTAATTCGTGAGTGGCCTGTTATTTTCAATATGTAGTACCCACAAGCTTTTACTTAAGTCAGAGTTGAAATGTGATTGCAAAGTCTTTAGAGTTACATCACTTTATTGAGTAAACTAACAAAAAATATTAGTCCCAGAGTATTCTAAGTACAGGCTTTTAGTTTTTAAATTTTAGGCTAAAAATTATAATAAGTTACACTTCAAGTATTGAATAACAGCAGTTAAAGTACAAAAATCCTAGTCCCAGCATCTGGCCAAAGATTGGTGTATGAAAATTCAATATCTGAATTATAAGCTACAGGAGCTTTCACAAAACTTATTTTTCCAACTGTATGTTTTATTTACTTTAATTTAACATTAAAAATTATTGTTTACAAAATAATATGAGTACTGCTGTTACTTTTATTAGTATATAAAACATCTTGTTGATTTTAATGTGTGAGATTCTTTAAACTCCTGTCCAAGAGACAACAGTAATACATATTAACCTTTAACCTGGAAGGTAATGTTAGCTGGAACACAATTTTGTATCACTTCATCAAACTTGATATTTTAAAGTGGAAATTACAGCAAGACTTTTTCATTTCTGGCACTTATACTAAGATACAGTATTGATACCAATGTGTATTTTAGTTATTGCCATCAGATGTAACCAGTGTTCCCTCTAAGCTGCACACGTGCACAGCAATTACGTTGAATTGTGTTTTTATTAATACCAACTCACTTGGTTAAAGTCTTAAGTGAACATTTCTGTGTTATGACTAATGCTTCAAACACTAACTCCAATAACTGGAAAAAAACAGGTCTCTAATTTAATAAATATTTGAGGATAAGTTATTACCATAAAATGCTAGTATTCAGCAATATATATATATATATACATACTCATAAAAAGTGTAGTTAATTAGCTTTTCAAACAATAAAATACTACTATTCAGATATTTTTACTTAAATATAATTAAATTTAAACCTTAGCCTTTGTGATTGATGGATTAGATCACATGAACATACTTGACTAGTAGTAATTTATGTTGTGTGTAAACCTCATTTCAATATGTATTAGTTAGATATGATCAAGATGGAAATTTTGATTTTGTATCTGCACAATAAAAATGGATGATTTTGGTAACTAGGTATTTATTAAGTAGTAATTAAATGGTTATTTAACGGTACATGTACAGGGTGATTTAAATCTTTATTACATTGTTTGTACTTATATAAAATACTCTATTTCTAATGTTTAGACCATATGATAAAGTACTGTGCATGTCTTTTTTGATAATTCTGTTAAGAGCTAGATGCAGAAGTAAGAGCAGATACTAAGGTAATAAGCAAGTTTCATCACAGGATCAGTAGCCAAAGTAAGCAGATACTAAGGTAATAAGCAAGTTTCATCACAGGATCCAGTAGCCAAAGTACAAGCAGATACTAAGGTAATAAGCAAGTTTCATCACAGGATCCAGTAGCCAAAGTAAGCAGATACTAAAGCAATAGGCAAGTTTCATCACAGGATTAGCAATAACATAGGGACTGGTTAGGTCAAAAACCATGCACATTGTTTACATTCTTTGTAGTATAATAATATTAAAAACAAGACAATCACCCCCGTTTCAAATGATGAATAATATATACTTATATACAAAATATATTTTATGATACATTTATGTTATTATAAAATTCAGAGTCTTAAGTATCAACGTTTTCTGATAAATAAAATATATCAATTAGAACAAAGGTCTGTCAAAAATACCCAATAACAATCTTCATTTTTACTTTATCACTAATTCTATTATATCAAGCACATTGTTAAAATATTCCTTATTGTAAGTTGGATCCGGGTTTGAATTCAAGAAAAAATCAAACATAATTTAATATCAGAAGTTCGTCAAAAGTTAACCATGCTATGTATATTGTTTTTTGCATGAAAAGTATTTTATTCTTAAAGGAAATTCAATGTTTAAGAAGAGAGCAGAGTGTAATGTCTACATTTTACTAGATCCTATGATGAAACTTGCCTATTGCCTTGTATCTGCTCTTACTTTGACTACTGTGGTAAATTTAGTAAAGACCTTTGTTTTTTTGAAGGATATTTTATTAAGTACAGCTTGAATACTTAATAATTTAATGTATGATATTTGTGATTTAATCACACCTTTTCCCTGTGTAGGTTTGAAGTAAAATCAATATAATGGTGGAGTACAAAAATAAACTTTGTTCTAAAAATCCAGGTTTTTTTATTACTGCAGGGTGTTTTGCCAAGTCCTAATTATGTTCATGTACACGGTGGTTTCATTCATGAAAAAGATGTAAAATGCTTATTGAATTTTTTTCAAAGATACAGAAATACTTACTTGACAGTCAACAATACATTTTTTACCTAGAGATCTTGTCCATACATACTCATTTACACAGCCATACCACTGAAGCCTGTCTATTTTCTTTCCAGCCATTACTTTGGTTTTGTATAACTGGATATACTATGGTGGCATTTCCACCAATGGATGACATTATAATGAACCTTCATTTTTTATTCTAATTTTGTGATTGGTCAGAATAGGGATTCTTATTTATTGGAAACTATGGAGAAAATGATCAACTGCAATGTTAGTAAAAACAACTTTTGGCCTCTGTTGAAATATAACAGCTAAATTCCACTTATTGCTAGGTGACAATGCTAAACAAATCCACACTTGTGAATTAACTAATTTGACAGACACTCTGATTGCTTCCCACCCCAGATTAAAAATGCCTCCAAAACCTTTTGAACCTTTTCATTTTTCTACTTAATGATACTCTGGTGTTTTTATTTAAAACTTTCTTTAATGTATGAAGTCAGAGGTTAAACAGCCATGTTTAATAAAAGGTTATCATCATGTAATATTAATTGGTGCAGAGATCTCAGTTACTGTAGAACATGCTACACGGGAAAGACATAGATCTCAGTTACTGTAGAACATGCTGCAGAGGAAATACATAGATCTCGGTTACTGTAGAACATGCTACACGGGAAAGACATAGATCTCAGTTACTGTAGAACATGCTGCAGAGGAAATACATAGATCTCGGTTACTGTAGAACATGCTACATGGGAAAGACATAGATCTCAGTTACTGTAGAACATGCTACACGGGAAAGACATAGATCTCAGTTACTGTAGAACATGCTGCAGAGGAAAGACATAGATCTCAGTTATTGTAGAACATGCTGCAGAGGAAATAGATAGATCTCGGTTACTGTAGAACATGCTACATGGGAAAGACATAGATCTCAGTTACTGTAGAACATGCTACACGGGAAAGACATAGATCTCAGTTAATGCAGAACATGAAGACTTCGATCAGTCATGTTGATACTGTTACAACAGAAGATAAGGATGAACAAGAAATGCTGGATAAGATGTTTTAAATATCAGTGCATTTCAATTTTAAATCTTACTGATAAACTTTCAGTTTTCTTGTATTCAATACTTTTTTGATTCTGTAAAGTATACAAACAAAATTGAACCTAACCTCACATTAATTCTTGTAATTCTTTTAAAATGAAATATGTAAAACAACTCCAGCTGACCTCGGCTCTGTTAAGTGAATTGTTGTAGTTGAGACTACAGGAATAATCCACCATAACTACTGGCCAATCATGGTCTTGGTGATGGTTGCATGCTTTTCCTTCCCTTCTCAGAAATTATCTAAGGCATTTTACTAATAAAAGTTTTCATGTCATCTGCTGTGAGACAGTTTACAATCAGAATTTATTTGTTGAACTTAACATAATCCTTTTTTTCACCCTATAACTGCAATTTAAAAATCCTTATAAAATTGGCTTACTTGAAAAATACCTTACCTAAGCATTATATATATGTGTTCTAAAAATAATTTCTATCCACAACTTACATGAAGCTAATTATTACAAAACAATTAACTAATTTTTATTTGGGATTTGACATCAAATCCTGTAAGAATCAAAATTTCACTGATGAAAGTTTTTAACTCTACAAACCCAGAATTTCCACTATTTTGGGTCCATTGTACTATTGGCTTTCAAATAAATATTTCACAAACTGCTAATATATATATATGTTTATACACATATCTTTATGATAATTTTTAACACAAGAAATACATATTTTCTCCAAATTACAAGGATAAAATATTTGTCTTTGTAGAAAGTTTTCTTGAGTTATCTAAAAGAAGTACAGATCAAATGTTGGAAACCAGTATTCTCTGTGAAGCAGGTTTTTTGAGGTAAATTTCATAAGGCTAGAATTCTCAGTGATATTCGTGAGTAATTATGTTTTCCAGACATGTCCATTATACTTTCTGATAAACAATATCAGTTAGCTGTAAGTAAAGAAAGATAATAAACAGCATCCTCGTATTAGCATGACGGGTATGTAAACAAATACATTCAAGGTATATAGTATGTGGGCGTGGAATAAGATTTGATTTTAGGCTAGAGAATTTACCGAGATAAACACTAATTTCTATTCTTTAACGTAACAATTTGTGAATTATGTAAAGTATTAGAATACAACCATGAAGCTTTATTTTAAAACTGCTTTGAATTAATGAAAATTAAATATATTTACAAGGGTATGTCAAAACAGTTTCACCAGTCTCTGACGATAAATAAACGTTTCACAAACTATATATATATATATATATATACACACACATGTACACATAGAAAGCAACATATATACAATATGTTATTCAATGTTTTACTCTTCTGTACAACAGTTGGAAAGCATTTTCAAATGAAAAAAATCAAGTTTTTACTGATTTTCTGATGATTTCATGAATTCCTTTCTAAATGACAATACTGATGGAAGACTTGATCTCAATAGTGGCTCAATGGGATCTGTTTTGTATGGGTTATCGTAAGCTGTTGAGATGACAACATTCCGAAATTGTCGTCTTTTTCTACCTCTAGATCCTGGACGTCGTACAAGTTTTTCACCTCTGTACCTGTAAACAATACCGGAAGTTAATTAATATCAGAAACAAAAATCAGAATAATTACAAAATGAAATGTAGACGTTCGCATACAACTTAAATATAAGAATATTACCAAAAAAAATTTTAAAGAAAAAAACGAATAAATGAACACAAAAAGTACAATAAAAACTTTCATAATGAACATTATGTATTTTAATAGGTGGCCATTATAATTTTCTGCTAGAGCTATAATTACTTGAACTAAAAGATATCTCATTCTGTATAGAAATACTGCCACTATAGTTCTTAAATAAAATACTTTTTCAGTAAAAAGAACTTAATTGCGAGTAATAAAACCAACAAAAACTGCTTGAACAGTAATCTAATAATAGCATTAAGCTTTAATAGTGAATATCAAATCACTGCATTACCGAAATCCTCGAGAGAAGTTGATTAAACCAATGGCACAGCCATGTAAAATAAAAATGTATGATTTTTTTATGGTCTACAGTACCAATTTCTAATTTAATTCTGTGCATTCGGTCAGATCTTTAAACTTAATCAAAAGAGTAATAGAATTTGTATCCAGGAGCATCATTTCACAATTTTTTTTAAGGGGGGTGTGTGTGGGAAAAGAATATCGACCTCCACGGGCCATCCAATTCAACTGGACAGCTCTGCACTACGATATAATTTATGTACACGTGTTACTTGAGCCTGACTAGAAACATCTCACAAAAACTGCCAACCCCCTCTTCTGAGGTGATGAGGAGCTATCTCCCCCTTCCTCCCCAGATAATGCCCCTGTTTGTATCATATATTTAAATTTTTTGCAATAGAGTAGTTTACATTTTTGGAGCAAACCATGAAGTTTGCAGCTATAAAAGCACTGTGTTATGTACCTTATTCACACGATACTCCAAATAACAAGAGTAATAAATACTCAAAGTGTGCCACAAGAAGTAACAAACATCTATTTACCCAAAGCCTGATTTGTTCCTTGGGTTCTGTCCTTTATCAACAACTGGTTCAGCAGGACCAATGACCGTTTTTCCCAATCCTTGTCCATCTCGCCAACCCTGTTTTTCCATCAACCGGCGCCCAATACCCTAAAATAATAAGCAAGATGTAAACAGATTTTCATTGGCTTTGAATCCTAATAATGGAAAATTTCAAATAAGTATGCAGCTTACAAAATTTGCCAAATTTCGTGACATGTTCTTAAAAAAGTTATTTTTATTGACTTATTACTTGGTCAATTATAAATCTTTTGCTTAAATACACATTCAAAACAAATTTATCAGTTTTTACACACAAAAATAATAAGAGGGGACACTCGACAAACAGGTACTAAAAATGCCTTTAGCCTTTGAGGACTGAAAACTACCACCACTTACAACACCTATAAATTTCATCTGACCATCACATACTACATTCAAGTCTCCTCCAAAACCCTAAACTTACATTTAATTTTGGAAACTTTCCACCACTGAACAGAATCTGGAAATTATAACTATTCTTTAAAATAAATTAATGGAATTCTAGCGGGTTTTTTTTCCATCTAAAATTCTTTAATTTTGAAGGAAAAAGTTACTCTGCACACAGTAGTTATTTGTATTAGTTTAAATTTGGTGTTCCTTGTAACTTTCATCACAGATTTTGTCCTTAATACAGATACAGTGTATAGGCATCTCTGTGAGCTGGTTAAAATTACTGTGAATTTCTAAGTTCATAGTTTTGTTATTAACCTTTCTGGTAGCATTCACAGAAATCTTGATTTCATGTTCATATCCAAAATTTAAGAATTTCAGTGATAAATTTTTATGTTCCAATTGTTTGCTGTTACTACCACCTAGTGACAAAAAAGGTTACTAAAATGTATAATAAAGTCTTAAACCAAATTCGATAACTTCATCATAGCCACAAACGATTTTAATGCTGGAAGATAATTTTTGTATATACATTTCACTACTACTGTTCTAAAACCTCTTCTAAAAACAAAATGTTTTTGTGAGTAACTAACAATGATCTTTTTTTTTTATGGTAGAGGTTTATTCTTTTTGATATCCATTAATTAGATGTATAATTTTCTTTATAGCTTACCTTCGTGTGATTCTCAAAAAATCCTATTTTTGTGTTGAAAGTCTCATCATCATCATCATCTATTCCATTTCGTAACCTGGTCTCACGCCTCATTTGTAAAAAGTCCAGGGCATCTTTGTCTCCTGCACCTAACAAATTAGTTAGAAGTAACTGTAAATGAGATCAAGAATTATTTTTTCTGTCAAAATGTGAATGCTATATACTTTTTTTTACTCCCACACTTATACAAGTATAGAAATTATGTAAAATAGGAAAATAAATTATGAAGATTTGAGACAGCTATTTGTGGGGTAATAGATTTATTTCTGTACAACTTTAATCTCTAACTGTCTTTGCTTAAAACATTTAAGGTACAAGTACATTCATGATGGGGGAAAACGAAGTCTAATAACGAAGATGGTTGACGGGTTCACAATTCCTACAAATTAAAAACAAACAACTCTCCAATCTTCTACTCTGGAATTCAGCTCAGACTAATATACAGACCTAGCCTCTGCATTAAAAACTTATTTCAATATAAAGATCAACTACTTCAACTTCTACGTTCATGGCTCGTGTAGTGACTGTAATGTCACGTAAGTTGGCAAAACGAAATTCCACTTAAAAAACTAGAGTCTGTGAACACTTAGGAGTATCTAACAGAACCAATCATCCATTACTTAAACCCAGCCATTCATACACATTCTGAAACCACAGGCCACAGTATTTCCTTTAATGATTTTGTCTATCACTACCACACGATCTTCAGACCTTGAACTCTACATAAAGAAAGTTTACTCATAGCTAAAGACCACCCAACTCTTACTGACTCACAAAGCTCTTTAGATCTAAAATTATTCTAAATTTTCACACTTAAACTCCACTGTTGCACAATATATCTATAATCCTTTGTTTTATCACTCTGTTTACCTATTCTCTTAATAACGAAGTAAACTAATGACTGTGATATTATAGTTTTAGTTAATAATCATCTTCATAACACGATTTTCAGATACTGCTGAAGGTGGAATGGGTGTATTCTGAAACATTCAAACCTTGTAAATAAAACACATCCAATCAAAAATATATTCATAAAAAAATATATATTCATACTTAAAAACAACAACAACAGAAATCTGAAAGCCCTAAAACATACTAGCGTCACTCACATAAAACATACTATCGTCACTCGCATAAAACATACTATCGTCACTCGCATAAAACATACTATCGTCACTCG